ACCCCACACTATGGTGGGTGAGTGTGAAAGATATTAGGAGACACCTGGGCCCTAGCAGTGTCTTTCAAATCATATGAAGGTAACGACCTTCTGTTGCCTTAGATTTGTTTATAGGCAGCCCTGTCTTCGGGATGCAAAATGATGGAGTAAGATGCCTTTTGAGGTCCCTTTTGCTTTTTAATAATTGTATGTTTTAAAGAGGAGGAATTGATTAAAGGAGGACTGAGTAGTTGTCCTACGTGGGTAGTCATGAAAAGTAATGAAAACTTGGGTTTTAGTCCTGGCTTTGTCTTTACATTCTTATGGGGATCTGTATTAAACTGCTACAATTTTCCCATCAATTATAAACCTCTTATAGGTTATTGGAGAAGAAAGGGAACAATTTCTGTACATAGGAGGCAAATCAGTGAAGCCCTGTATTAGTCTTGATGAGCCCTGATAGTTTTCTCCATAATCCACTGACCCCATCACATTTTATCTTGTCTCCTCCCCAGGTGTTTTTTAGAGTCCCTGGTCCATCCTTAAAATCACTACCTTCATACCCCATTAACTTTCCCACCCCAATTGAGCTGCCCTAGCAGAACTTGCTGCTAGTTAAATCTCTCTGCCTACTCCCCTTCATGCCTGCATCTAAACAGCTAAATGTGGCAGGAGAAAAGCACACAACCATCTTCCTGGATCTCACTTTAAATTTATGATGTCAAATCTCCAGTGGGACCATCGAGCTGCCTGGCAGTCCTACCACATTTCCTTGGCAATTCACTCGCCTACTCTCCAAGATGACAATTTCATACTTTCTCCTCTCGCCTGAAACCTCCAACATTTCCCTTTTCAATTCCAGTTTCTTGTTTGACTAAGAAAATAGAAGAAACAAGAAGATAACTTTCACACATTCCCACCATCAAATCTACCCACCTCTCTGCCTCTGTGCCCATTTTCTTTGCCTTCCTTCCTGTTGCCATGGGGGATGTTGTCTGAGCCAGTCCTACTTGTTCACCAGAGCCCATCTCCTCTCAGTAATGGTAAAGAAGGGAACCTTGTATGATGGCAACTATATGCCAGGCTTAGCTCTAAGTACTTTATATATTAACTAGTGGAATCCTTACAGTCAGCCTGTGACATAATAATACCAGTTTTACAGATAAGAAAAGAGAGGCACAGGAAGATTCAGTAGCAGTGTCCCCTCTCTCCCGCATCATCAGTTTCCCTTTTGTACCAGAGCTTATTCCTTAGTGTAAAAATAAATTCTGACTGACCGGTTGCTGTGGAGTCAACTCTGACTTATGTGTGAGAGTGGAGCTATGCTCGGGGGGTTCTCAGTGGCTGATTTTTTGGAAGTAGATCACTTTTTTTCCGAGATGCTCCTGGGTAGCCTGGAACCTACAACCTTTTGGTTAGCAGCTGACTGCATTCACTGTTTGTACCACCCAGGAACTCTGAAATAAATTCTGATATTTCCTATTTTACAAAACCTGTCCTTGACCTCATTTACTTCCCTGTTCCGTTTTTCAGCCAAATTTCTTGTAAGAGGTTTTTTTTTTTTTTAAACTATGTTTACTGTATCTACTTCCTCTTTTCTAATTTTCTCTTAATCTACTCCAATCTGGCTTTCATCTCTACCCTTGCAGTGAAATAGCTTTTGCTATTTTTTGCCAAGGTCACTAAAGACTTCAAAGCCAGAGGGACATTCCCTGTTGCTTAGCCTCTCAGAAATGCTTTATTTCCAGGATACCATATGCTTGTCTCTCCCCCCACCCCCCCACTTCAGCGGTCACTGTCTCCTTTGCTCGGTCTCCCTCTGCTGGCCAACTCTAAATGTTGGTTTGCTCAAGAGCTGGTCCTGGACTGCTTCTCTTTTGTTAATCTTAGCCAATCCTATAGTTTTAAAGATTACTTATATGTTGCAAATTCTCAAATTCTCTCTGCTCTGACCTTCTTGTAGACTTCCAACATCTCATCTGGATGTCATAGGCGTAAAAAACCAAACTCACTGCGGTCGAGTTGGTTCTGATGCATAGTGACCCCTCCTTAGGTTTCCGAGGTGGTATCACTAGGGAAATAGATTGCCCAACCCCATCCTCCTTCCGAGGAGTGACTGGTGGGTTTGAACCACTAGCCTTCTGGTTAGCAATCAAATGCCTTAGCCATTATGCCAGCAGAGCTCCTGTCATAGCCATCGTAAAATTAATCTCAAATAAAATTCTTGAATTTGCACTCTGTCCTCTAGTTCTTCTTTACAGTAAATCATACCATTATTTATCCAGTTGCTCAGGCCCCAAATCATCCTCAGCTTATTTCTTAATCCCACATCTCACATCATATCATCAGGGTCCTACTTTCAAATTAAATCCAAAATATGACCACTTGTCACCCTACTACACTCCTACACTCAGGACTACACTCTACTCCAAAGCACCATGCATTCTCTGCATTTGAAATAGCCTCCTAATGAGTCTTCCTTCTTCTTCTTCTTTTTTTTTTTCTCTAATACAGTCTGTTCTCTACCCTGTAGCCAGATTCATCCTTTAAAAATATAAACCAGATTATATTTCTCTCCTGCTCAAAACCTCCAATGTCTTCCTGTCATATTTAAAATAAAATCCGAAGGCTTTACTGAGGCTTACAAAGGGCCTATGTGGTCTAGCCCTTGCCTATCCCTCCTTATTAATTTCTTATCATTCTCTTCTTCTTGCCCTTCCCCAGCCCAATGGTCATCTTTGTCATTCTTTGAACACAACAAACACACACTTGCCTCCAAGCCTTTGGCTTTACTATTTCTTCTGCCCAGACTACTCTTCTTCCTGCAGATAGCGTTCTAAATTAAACAAGAGAATTCAGTATTTTGGTACAGTCTCTGTTCAAACTTTGCCTTATCAGAAAAGCCTCCAATCTCCCCATCTAAATAGCAGTCATTATCTGTAAGGAGCCCTGATGGTACAGGTTAAGCGCTTGGTGGCTAACAGAAAGGTTGGCTGTTTGAACCCATCAGCCACTCCATGAGAAAAAAGACTTGGTGATCTGCTCCCGTAAAGATTACAGGTTAGGAAAACCCATGGGCAGTTCTACTCTGTTCTATGGGGTTGCTATGAGTTGGAGTTGATTTGACAGCAATAGGCTTTTATTCTGCTATTGTTGTTATTGTCATTATCTGTTTTCTTGCCAGCTTTAATAACAATGTAACATTATATGTTGATTTGTGTATCTGTTTGTTGCATAGTGCCTAAGGCATTTGACTGCTAACCAGAAGGCTGACAGTTCAAGCCCATAAGCCACTCCTTGGAAGGAAACCTGGGCAATCTACTTGCTTAGAGATAGCACCTCAGAAACCCAAGGAAGGGTTGCTATGAGTAGGATTTGACTTGACAGCAGTAAGCTTGGCGCTTACCTGAGTAGAATGTTGTCTCCTTAAAGGCAAAGACTATTGCTTCATCTCCAGTGCCTGGAATAGCACCCATTAGGTGCTCAAAAAATAATTGTAGAATTTTTGGAATAATGACAAGTATTAATTCCTACAAAGTTGAAGGATATATAATTTTAGAATAAAAAGATTAGAGGTAATATATTTCTAAAATTAAAAGAAAACCTTTAAATTATAAATGAAAAAGAACATGTGTGGACAAAATTTCCTAGAAGTAGAAAAGAGAGTCTCAAAATTCTTGAGTGGCTTTAGTCCTCCTTTCTCTGTCTCTCTACAGTCTGAGGAGAGTTTCCTGCTATACTTGATTGAGAACCAAGGGGAGCAACCAAAAGGAAGGTCTTCAACAAATTTCATGGCTCCCATCAGGGAATTCAGGGATGCATCCATGGTGGGGGTAGGGCCAAGTCTTCTAGAAACTTAAAATTGGTGAAATGAAATTGGGGATCTTATGTTTCTTGGTGGCACAATGGTTAAATGGTTGACTATTAACTGAAATGCTGATGGTTCAAATCTACAAGCTACTCTTTGGGAGAAAAGACCAGCAATCTGCACCTGTGAAGATTATAGCCTAGGAAACTCTCAGAGGCAGTTCTACTCTGTCACATAGGGCCACTGTGGGTTGGGGTTAACTCAACAGCACACAACAATGACATGTTCCCTAAATGTACTCTACTCGAGGCAGTGAGAATGGCAAATTTAAAATGTTAATGCTTATGATAAAGAGAATGATAATGATTCTAATTGTTGCATTTCTGACTGTCCTGGATCAATATCCCATTTTCCATTTCCCTATATAGTTGGATTGAGAAAATTGGTGCAATTGTTTCCAGTTTCTTGGGTCACTCCTCTCTAAGGAGAAAAGGATCTAAACATGAATTTATGTACCTTTTACTTAAGGAGCTCTGGTGGTGCAGTGATTAAGGCAGTTGGTTACCCAAATGGTTTGAACTTACCAGCTGCTCTGTGGGAGAAAGATGAGGTAGTCTGTTTTTGTAAAAGACTTACAGTCTTGGAAACTCTATGGAGGCAATTCTACTCTGTCCTATAGGGTTGCTATGAGTTGGAATTGACTTGATGGCAATGTTTTATTTTTTAATTTTTCTCTTAACATTGCTGCAGTTTCTATTCATAGATGTGGAAGAAGAGACTGAAAACTGTGCCAAAATAATGAATACTCTTGTTTTGTATTGTGAGATATAAAGGGATTGGAACAACTCCCTTTAAGTTCTGTTAGTGTTTCAGTGTGCTTTCTAACTGAGAAACCTTTAAGAAGGGATGTTTCCTACTCTTATAAATATGACTTTAATTACAGTTTTCATTCCCAGAACTTTGGCTCCCAGTAAACATGATGTGTGATGATTATCTGACAGAACAATGATTTTGAAAGTTTGAGATGCAGAGTATTTGGTGGACTCATAATGCTGCAAAGCTCACATTGTATGACGTAGGCCATCAAATTTGTTTAAAAAGACAGACAGAGCATGATCATTTTGTAGTGTTTAGATAATTTCCAAAGATTCATTTGTGTGAACATCTACTCACTTTATTTCTTCACTTTTCCCATTCATTTCTTTTTGCCTAGAGGGAGAAGAGGATGAAGATGAAGAGGAGGAAGATGAAGAAGAAGAAGATGAGGAGGAAGATGAAGAAGATAAAGATGCAGACTCCCTGGTTGAGAGCTTGGACAGTGACACTGAACTGCTGGGGTTTACTCTCCCTGGTGTCACATCCCAGGAGCCTGGCTTAGAGCAAGGAAACATGGGCCTTTTGGAGGGAGCCACCTACCAAGTGCCCGATGCCATTGAATGGGAACAGCAGGATCAGGGCCTGGGTAAGAGTCATGTGGGCTGTCCTTTCCCTCCTCTCCCTTTCCTCCTTTTGCTTTTCTAGGGTGACTGCTTTCCTTCATTGGCATCAGTCATGAAGCAAAATGGATTTTCTGTTTATGTTTATGGGTAGTTCATAAGGGAAAAAGTTATTGGTTATTTCTTCAATATGTTTATATTTTTACTCTTAAATGACCTGGCTTTGAACAGTCTCAAGTACACATTAAGTGCATGGTTACTTGATCTTTGGAAAGAATTTCTTTTGTCTTTCCTAACAGGAGCAATGGTGGCTCAGTGCCTAAGGCATTTGACTGCTAATGAAAAGATTGGTGGTTCAAACCTACCAGCCACTCTGCAGAAGGAAGACTGGGCAATCTATTTCCATAAAGATTTATTCCCTCAGAAACCCAAAGGAGGTCACTATGAGTTGGAATCAACTTGATGGCAGTGAGCTTCCCCCCATCCCCAGTAGGAAGGCAGTTGTAGGTTTTAGGAAGACTTCCAAATGGGGAGGAGATATGTGTAACCTGTGTGCCAAACGTGCAGCACGAATGGACTGTGATTATTAAACAAATGTATTTTGTCGCCCTCTGTCTTTTTAGAACTTATACACTTGAGGGAAATTCTTCCTCTGCTGTTGGATTTGCATTTGGGCAGCCCCATGCCTTTTCTGCTCATTCTTAAGGTTGCTTGCCATTGTTAAACACAGTCTCACTCCAGTAATTAGGGTGTCCAGACAGCCTCATGCTTACTATCTCTTGCCCATGGCCCACATTAGCAGTGACAGCCTCTGAGAATACAGGCTGACCACAACTTGGCACTCCCTGCTGTCTCTTTCTTGGATTTTTCAGGGTGTTTTCTGAGTGTTTCCTTGAGACTTCACTTTTGACATGAGGTGGAGTGTCCTCTTCTCCAAAGAAATCTCTTCTCTAAATTTCTTAGTCTCTAAAATTAGGCCCTTCAATGCCTTCATGTAACAGAAATTAGACTAAAGAGTCATATAACCAGTTTTTGGGTATTTCATTGAAAACTTGGATGTTGGAATAAGACCTCACTCTGGACTATCATATCTAATTTATCTTTGTCCCTCAGTTGAAACTTCTAGTTTAGAATCCAATTGCACATGGTTTCTTAAAGATCATTTTCCTTCCAACTCATGAATTCTCTTTTAGATCAGCAGTGAGAAAGGGTGGGTGCATCAAAGCAAGTATGGAGTGGGAAAATTATAGCTTCTGCTTATGGTATGAGTGTGTAGTTTAAAACAAAAAATTTTTTTAAACCTCAAACTAGAATTGGTAAAATCTTTAAAGGCTTACAATCTAATAAGGAATTCTGTCCATAATCTATAGCATTAGAGAAACATTGGATGGGGGTGTTTAATGCCATCTTCTCTACCTTTATAGGGTTCTTTGACAAAATGTCCTTTGGATTTGGATACTTGATTTAGCCAGCAAACCAAATTTAGCACCTACTGCCTTCCTGGTTCTTTGCAAGGCACTAAGACGGCTGGCGGTTCAAATCCACCAGCCACTCCTCGGAAGGAAGGTTGGGCAATCCTACTTCCGTAGTGATACTGCCTCGGAAACCCAAGGAGGGGTCGCTATGAGTCGGGGCCGACTCGACGGCACATAACAACAACAACAACAAGGGACACCGAGATAAACCAGGCAGTGTCTTCTCTCTAACTGTAGCAGAGCCCATTTCACAAAGATTTCAGTGCAGACTGGGTGAATTTTATAGTAATAAAAGTAGGTTATAAGAGGACAGAGCAGAAACATAGAGGGGGCCATTTAGGTTACCTGAGAGAGATCAGAGTTGTCACTTTTAGGCTAGATAGATAGATAGATAGGAGATAGCTTGTATGGAAGGGGGCCAAGGAGAGACCATGCACAAAGGCAGTAGAAGGATGAAAGAGCATGGGACATACTGGTGTGTGGGTAAAGAACAGTGGGGAAAAGGAGGCTTTAGTGGTCATGGTAACAGTCGAGGCTGGAAAGGTGAGCAAGGGCTGCATATGAAGGGCTTTCAGTGCCAAGAGGCTTTAACTTGTCTTATATGAAAATCTTTCTGGTGCTAGCACAGTGGAGGAAGAGGGGGAAAAGGGTGAGAGAGGAGAGAGAAAAAGCGCTGTTTATGAGATTAATGAAGTTGTCCTTGTGGAAAGTGAAGGTCCACACTGAGGCAGAGGTAGTGAGGATGGAGAGCAAGGCGCCGACCTGAGAGCCTTTTAGTCATGAGTCTTAGTGACTAATTTTGGGGAGGGGGAGAAAAAGAGTTAAGGATGACTTCTGGGTTTTTAGCTTGGGAAACTGGGTGATAGTGATACCTTTGAAGATGGAGTAGAGGAAGAGAAGTGAATTTGGCATATTGGAAGAGATGATGAACTAGTTCTGGACATGCTGCATTTTGAGTCTGGAATTCAGGAAGGATGTTTGCACTTGAGATACAATTCTTTTTTCTTTTTTTTAAATTGTGATTTGGGTGAAAGTTTACTGAGCAAATTCACTTTCCAGCCAGCAGTTCACATATACTTTGTCTCGTGAATTGGACTACAATTCACCACAATGCAACAGCTCCCCTCCCACTTCTTGAGATATAATTCCTGGAGTACCACTCTATAAGTCCCTGGCTGGTACAGGTGGTTAAGCTCTCAACTACTATTTGAACTACTAGTTCTACTACAGTAGAATTGGCCCATAGTGTTTCCAAGGCTATAATCATTATGGAAGCAGACTGCCACATCTTTCTCCTGTGAGGTGACTGGTGGATTTGAACCACCGACCTTTTGGTTTGCAGCTGAATCCTTAACTACTGCAACATCAGAACACCTTGGTTTGTTATCCTTGCCTTCTTTAGTCCCCATCCCCAGACAACCACTGTTCTACTTTTATCACTGTAGATGAGTTTTCATTTTCTAGAATTTTTTAAAATGGAATCATATTACATGTACCCTTTCTGTCTGTCTTCTTTCATTCTTCCATTTCATTTCTTTTTATTGCTGAGCAACATTCAATTGCATGGATATATCACATTTTGTGGGAGCTCTGGTAGCGTAGTGCCTAAGGCACTTAACTGCTAACCTGAAGGCTGGCGGTTCAAACCCACCAGCCACTCCTCGGAAGGAAGATGGGGCAATCTACTTCCGTAGTGATACCGCCTCAGAAAGCCTAGAAGGGGTCGCTAAGAGTCGCATCCGACTCCACGGCACACAACAACAACAACATCACATTTTGTTTATCAGGTCACCTCTCGATGAACATTGGGTTGTTTCCAGTTTTTGGCTAATAGCAGTTAAATATTAAGGCTATGTCAGGTTTGAGGCTCAGGCCCAGTGGCCATGTTGTTTCTCCTGTCCTGCCCCTTATCAACCTCTGGCTCTGTCTCCGTCCCCTGTGTGCCCCTAATGTTTCTTAAATTAAAGATAACAATTTAGTGATTTGTTATGGTTTTAGAAGTTTTTACTCAAGTCTTGAGGGTTTTTTTTTTTTTAATATCAGATTTTTTCTTATTACAATCCATTATATCCCTGAATGTCTTTTATCTTTTAACTTCTTTTCTCTATAAATTCATTTTGACAACATGTTTTTTTTGCATTGTGGATTTCCTGGGAACCAAAACAAGGAATAAATCTTTTGGGCTGTTCCAACTCTTTGTGGAGCAGAACTCTTTGAGAAGATTGTGTTTGGTTAGTGTCTGGATCTAGCATTTTGTTAGCTCACCATCCTTTTCTTGGACGGATAGGAGTATTTCCTAGGATCAGTAACTCAAAACCAATACCGTCAGTTGGATCAGTATTAATTGCTACACTTCCTAAGTAGTCTCAGGCAGGTGAGATAGAGGAAAACATTCCCTATTTGTCATGGATTTTGTGGTAGGTAGAGTAGACTTCCCAAAGATGTTCAGGTCCTAATCTCTAGAGTTTGTGAATATGTTTTACCAGATAGTGTCTTAGTCAGGGTTCTTTTGGCTGGCAAGTCCAAAATCCGTAGATCAGGTGACAGACTGGACACTCCTGGTGGCACATGGGATTGGTGGGGGCCTGGCAAGACAGCATGCTGGAGACTTGTAGTCTTGCATCCTAAGATCCATAGGTCAGGCAACAGAAAGAGTACAGAGTAGAGAGAAAGAGCAAGTTATGCCAAAGTATCTCTTTATAGTCTGAAGGCAGAACATGTCATAAGGAAGCTTCCCTTTCAACTGATTGATTATATTACATCAAATTAGATTACATTATGCAACAGCACCTAGTCTAGTGTTTGGTCAAACCACTGAGAATCATAGTCTAGCAAGATGACACATAAAATTAACCATCTTACATGGCAAAAGATATTTTGCTGGTGTGATTAAATTAAGTATATTGAGATGGTTATCCTAATGAGCCCACTGTAATCACAAAAGTCAGAGTCAGAGAATGAGATGTGATGATGGAAGCAGAGGTTGGAGTGATGTGGCCATGAACCAACCATAGAATGTGACTGGCCTCTAGAAGCTAGAAAAGACAAGGAAATAGATTGTTTCCTGAATCCTCCAGAAGAAATCTGCTTTAGTACCTTGATTTAGCTCCACAGGACAGTTTTACACTTCTGACCTCCAGAACTGTAAAGTAATATATTTGAATTGTTTTAAGCTGTTAAACATTATCTGTGGTAATTTGTTACAGCAGCAGTTGGAAAGATACAGGACCTCTGGTAGCATAGTGCCTAAGGCATTTGACTGCTAATGAGAAGGCTGGTGGTTCAAACCCACCAGCCACTCCTTGGAAGGAATATTGGGCAATCTACTTCTATAGTGATACCACCTTGGAAACCCAAGGAAGGGTGCCATTTTAGAAAGGAGCTCTGGTGGCATAGTGCCTAAGGCATTTGACTACTAACCAGAAGGTTGGAAGTTCAAACCCACCAGCCACTCTGTGGAAGGAAGACTGGGCAATCTACTTCCGTAAAGATTTACCGCCTCAGAAACCCAAAGGGAGTCACTGTGAATCAGAATTGACTTGATGGCAGTG